AAATTTATTATTTATATCAGATTATACAACAATTTATTTTTACATAATTTCAAATTATTTTAAAATTTAAAGTAAAATATCAAAATATTTTTATTATATTTTATAATATATTTTGTAATATTTTGAAATATATTACAAAATATTCTGCCTAAATTATAATTATTATATAATATTTCAGAGTGTAATAATTTATATAAATTTATATTTATATATTTTGCTAATATAATAACAAAAAAAAATAAAGAAATACAAGCAGAATTATCAAGAAAAGAAATTCAAAAACTAAATAAAGTTAAAAACAAAAAAGTTAATTTAAAAAGGAATTAAAAAATTAACTAAAGAATTAAATAAAATAAATAACTAAGTAAAAGAAAATTAATATAAAAAAATACTTTGATCTATATTATAAATTACAACAATACAAATAAGAAAGTTATTAAGAGTTATTTTTAACAGAAAAAGAAACTCAAAAATATTTAAAGAAGATATAGAAATAGAATACTTTAAAGAAAAGAGTGTAGTGACTTAGTAAAATAGTAGAGTTGTCATACCCCTAGATAGCAGGTCTAAAGTTTGAATCCTATAGATAATATTTTTAAAAAATAGCTTTATAATATAGTTGATAGCTATTTGATAATTAGTAGAATCTAGAAATCTGTAATCTCAATTACACTATTTAGAATAAAAGTCTTGGCACAATAAACCCAAGATATTAGAATAACTAAAAATCTATTTAGCAAGTTTTGAGTTGGGAGATAGTACAATCTTGAACCAAATTTGAAACTAAAGACTAAGATTTAAGAACCAAGTAACCAGGTTTTTAAATAGAGAGACACTAGCTAAACTACCAGGTTGCTAAACCAAAAAAAAAAGATATATACTCTGGAAGCATATATCAAAGAAAGAAAAACTATATAGACACTTAAGATTTAAGTAAACCAATCTTTTTGGGTTGCTAGCTAGAAGTAAGAGTGAGACTGGTAAAAAATCCAGAGAAGAAGAAAAGTTTAAATGTGAATACTGGGGTTGTGTAAATTTAAATACAAAAGCAAAGAGTAAGTAACTAATTATTAATATAGAAAGGTTGTAAATTGAGATACAGATTAGATTATTTCTTAAACTGTAATATAGGCAAATTTGCCTGCTAAAATTTTTTTTATTGTTATTTTTTATAATTATTTAAAATTTTATTATACTTAGACCCCTCTATTTCTAAGCTAAAACAAAAATTAAAATATAATTAGTTAATATTTTATAAAATTAGTAATTTAATTTTAATATGGAGATATCCATAATTTATATTAAACCAGCATTGTTATAGGGATTTTAAAGATAATACTATATAAAATTATCTTCAAAGTCTTTATTTTTATACAATGCTATACTGGTTTAATATAAATTATGAATATTCCCTATAATTAAAAAATATTTAATTTTAAAGTTAACCAATTCTAAAATTTTACTATAGAAATTTTTTAAAAATTTCAAATTTTTATATATTTTTATCTACAAAAAAATATTTTGCTATTAATTAATTATTTATAAAATTTAAAAATTTTACTTATTAAAATTGTTTTTTTAAAACCAACTCTATAAATGTTTTCTAAGATAAAGTGAGTTTAAAAGTGAATTATAAAAGTTTGTTAAAGAATTAAGACAAATTTTATTTTTTAAAATTTTTTTTTTAAAGTTATACAAAGTTTAGCATATAGACAACTTTAATTTTTTTTTTATAGTTTAAAAATAAATATTACTATCTTATAATTATTATTTTCAAATATCATTATATAAAATTTTTTTAAAATAGAATAAATTTTAACAAAATTAGATTATAAACAAAAATTAAAAATTTTAGCAGCCAAACTTGCTTGCTAAAATCTACAGTTTAAGAGATAGCAGTATTCTAAAAAATATCTTAAGATACAAACCTAGTAGTAACAACTTAACAAATATTAATAGAAAGAAGTTATTGAATATGTATATAAATATATATAGAATATATATTGCTTTGTTGGATTTATCTTGAGAATAAAGTAGTTCTAGATAGAGTATGAAATCTATAAGAAGCACAAAATCTAGTTAATAAATAGTGAGTTACATCTTAGTTAGGCAAGAAATGACAGGTTGGTTATAATCAGAAAGTTTAAATAAATAATCCTCTAGTTGGATTGCAAATATAGTAGCTAGTATGGAATCTAAAGCAGGCTATTTAAATAGACAACCAAAAGTTGTATGTATGGCTAGTTGTATTCTTATTTGTAAAGACCAAAGAGCTTAAATAAATAATCTTCTAGTTAGATAGCAGGTATAGTGACTAGTATAGAACCTGGGTAGTCTATATAAATAGATAACTAAAAATTATATATATAACTAGTTATACTCTTATTATAATTGTAAACATTATTAATTGTCTAATAAAAAGCTCTAGCTATAGAGATCACTTTAATATTAAAAAAAAAAAATACTTTGAAGAAATTCTGCAAAAAGAATTAAAAAGAAAAAAATATAATTTAAGTTTACTATTTCTAAAAAAAAAGAAGACAAATTACTTATATTTTTTTATTTTGACACTCAAAGAATTGGATAATTTAATATACAACTTTATATTAGAATTTAAAGATATTAATTTCTTACAATATAGCTAGCAATACACTAAAGAACAAAATCTAGACCTTAGAAAAAGAATTTTTTAAAGTAAGCTAAAGTAAAAAACAGCTACTATATATCAAGTAGTACTATAAAAACAAAATCAAACAAAAAAATATTTAAAGGGTATAAAGCAAAATATAAAAGTTTTTAAAAAATAAATAACTTATTAGAAATATCCAAACTTTAAACTGTTATTTAAAGAATATTACTATTTTAATAGCAAGCTCTTTGATATAATAAAACTAAAACTACTAACAAACAAACAATTATTAAAATTATTAAAAATATTAGTATAAAATCTTAAACTAAAACTAGAAGAAATAATATTAAAAAGTGAAGTATTGGATAAAAAACTTTAACAGTATACAACTGCTATAAGAATAATAATTATCTCTAAATTGCAAACAAAATAAAAGAAATCTATAAATCAATTAGTTATAAATATAAAGATAACAAACATCTTATATTACAAAAATTTGAAATCTGGGAAAGCAATTTCCAACAGAAAAGCTATAAAAAATATTTATAAACAAAGAACTAGAATTAGCATAAAAAAAAAATATTGAAAATTAGAAGGACAGACCTGTAATAAATTTAAAAAATACTGTACAGAATATTGGAAATAAGAATGTAAACTTTAAAAATCTACCAAACCAATACTTACACCAATACAGAGAACATTGAAACTAAAAGAACCATTATTCAAATAACTTAGAATACTTAAAGAGAACACAAATAAATCCTGAACTACTAGTATATCTAGATAGATAAGTAATTATACAAGACTCATTCAACATACCAAACAGAATTATGACCCAATTAATAGGATTTATAATACTAGAAAACAAAGCCTATATACTACTAACAGAAAGAATTAATATAAACAAAAGTTTTTATTAAATATATAATAGAATGGAAGGAAAAGAAAAATTAAATCCAAACAGAACTCTCAAAAAAACAATAGAAGCAACAGCACACAGAGAAATATTTGAAAAATCAGAACTAGTAGTTAAGAATGAAAGACTAGTAAAAATCCAAGAAAACTCTTATTATTCAACAAAAGAATGGATTGCAATTGGATATCAACCAGAACAAGCAAAGTACTTAATAACTCTAGGACTATTTATATTTGAACTAACAGATGAAATACCGAATTAGAGACTTTAAAACCATGGAAACTTTATTCATTAAATCAAATTGAAGAACAACAAATACTATTGGTACCAATGATTCAACATAACCTTTATTACATATTTACAAGAATCAAAGACTACCCAATGCTCCAAATGATTAACAAGATAAACCTGATACATCAAAAAAGAATAATAAATCCAAAGAAAATATATTCCGAAATACTTAATGAAGTAGACTCAGAATATAAAAAAGAAGTAATAATACCATTAACTGAAAAAGAATTAGAAAAAGTATTAATAAATAAAAAACAAATAACTGCAAAACAAATTCGAAGAGGAAGACTATTAAAAACCCAAATACAGAAAAGAATAGCACCTCTAAAACGAATAGAAAAACAATTAAATAACCTGGAACATCTCCTGAAAGGATATAAATACCTCTTGATAATAGATAAAACAGACCGATTCCAAGCAGCCACAATAATGGAAAAATACCCAAAAACAAAACATACTCGAAAAACTCAAGACTCGCTTTTACTATTATAATTTAAACTATGAAAGGCTTATCAGATAAAGATACGACAAACAAATGAATACCATGTACCTTAATAACAATAGAATTTTTAATAAACGAATACAAGGAACTAACCTTAATTTAGAAATAACCGGTAAAACAAATCCGACCACCTAATTCTTAACCATAGCCCTTTACATGTGTATGTCGTGCCTGAAATTGTTACCTGTTCGAAGGCGTGACTTCGGTTGCATATATCGTTTATATTTTAAAATAGCTGAGGCAAAGTAGATTACTAGTTATCATCAAAATTTTCGAATTTGAAAACAACGATAAGGCGTTGCTACAGTAAATTTAGGGATTAACTTTGTTAAACGCAAATTTCAATCGGGCATTCCAGATGTCAATTTGTCAAGTTTAACGTACGTACGGTACGTACGACGACATGAGTATTCGGCCTAAAATTAATCATTTATACTAACATCTGGGTACAACATATAAAAAATACTGTCTTCGGTGTATTTTGCCACGAGTAGTAATTAATTTAACAATGTTGATGTATATTCGCGTTCACAATAGAATATAACTTGCTAATCATTATTTGTTCATGTTCCGCATATTTATTTCATCATATTTCAGTATTCCTAATATTTCTGATTTTTTCGTCAACCACAATCACTATAATCATTCAACTTTTTCCTAATTCAGTATAACGTTAATTTTTCTTCGGATATTTCTTCGGTTTTATGTTGAACCCATGATTTTACCTCTTTTGTAGTTTTATTGATTTCTTCAAGAACAATCGCTAATTCTGTTACACCTTTGGTTAAAAACTCGATTTCTTCACCTGTCAACAAATTATCGAAATTCAGAATAGATTACAAAAAAAAAGGGATCGGTTTTGATTTAATGAATGTGATAAAGATAAAAAAAGATGCTATAAAAAGGTACCAATTTCTTTCAATTCTTCAACATCGATTTGAATAGTTGTTTGATTACTTTGCTCAGCAATTGAAACCTTTTCATAAATTATTTCAACACCTCGAAATTTACTAATTAATTTCAAGATATTATTATCAGCAATTTTTGATGAATCTTCTTCATCTTTAAGAGTTTCTTTTTTAGATTGGGATTGTTCTTTGGATTTAGAAGTAGCATCAGAAAGAAGTGCTTTTAATGAAGAATACATGATTTAAAAGAACCTTATGTTATCCTTCAAGTCAGAGTGAAGACTAAGTACCTCTATATATCTAGACCCACTGCAGATTTGTGTAACATTTTGGTACAGTATTTACCATACTCATTCAACGACGACGGGCCTAACACCTAGCGCTAGCACTAGTTTATTTATTTTATCATTTGTCTACACCGATACAATTACAATCATGATACGCAGCATCATATACTGAGCTAGTTTTATTTATTTTTTTTCGTAATCGTTGATAACGATAAACATGATGATTAAACTAATGAATGCCCGATACGGTACCGATACCAGGACTTTGGAGACAAATTTACAAGATACATACAACCCAACTCCGAATAATCAGACTCAATCTAATTACAACAGTACCCTTAAACTACTTCCATTAATTTTTAGCAATATATAGAGAATTGTTTTTTTTTTTTTTTTTTACTATGTTTCGGAATTTCAACTACAATATTAACATTCTTGACCTATAACCTTCTTAGCAAGACCAATCAAATTGCTTTTCGATATATTCCTTATGTCTGGCGGGCATAACTCTTAACCAATATTCTATTTCTGGAATTACATTCTTTTGGGCCTTTATCATACGGAAAACATTCCTTCTTGCTGGAGACCAAATAACATTTTCATTAAATTTGGCAACATTTTCTAAAAAATAAATAATTATAAAGATTTTTCTTAATTTCTATTAATGTTGAATAAAAATGAAATATTGTAGCTTAGATTTAAAAAAAAAAAATTTTACCTGGATCATTAGGATTCTTAGGTACATCCTTAAATAATTTAATGCCTTTATAAGTTCCATAAACTATCATTTCAATTTTTTCTCGCGCTAAAAATAAACCTTGTCTTTGTAAAGCTTTAATAATTCGCGCGTATGTAAAATGCCCTCTGAATTTAACATCCAACAATATTATTCCCGCTGCTTCTTCAACATTTCTACATTGCCAAAATGCCATTCCAACTTCATCACTGAATAAATCTGTATATGCTTTAATGATTTCTGTGGTTTTTTGATTTAATGTGTTGGTTACATATTCATTAAAGTTCTTTGACAGTATTATGTCTGCTGTTGATTCAGAAAATGGTTCATAATATTTTGTTGGTTCTGACTCAATGGCCTCACGACGTACTGAATTTTGACGATGCAAGAATGATTGTAAAAATGTTGCCAATTGGACCTTTGGTGTGTAACTATTAAAGAATGTATTTACAAGATCTGTTTGATCTTTAGTAAATTGAAATTCTGGTATTTCCAAGATGGATTCGATAGTATTGGTGGAATCTGCAATCAAAGACTCAAAAATCTTGTTGAATCGTAGAATAGTTTCAATCGAACTATTTACTGATTGTTTTATTGTTGTAAAAAAACTTAAGTCGGGGATTTGATAAGTATTGCTATCATAAAGTTGAATGTTAACAGTAGGAGGATCGATTTCCATTTTAGTTTCTGTTGTATCTTCAGTAGATTTGACTCGGATGGCACCGTCAGTATCCCCTAGTGCCTGGCGAATTGCGTTAGAGTAACGTAAATTACCAGTCGTAGTTGGTTTATTTATATTCTTAATGTATTCATCATAACTTTTTTCATACTCCTTAATCGGTTCATTGATATATTTCTCTTGATCAATGTCCAAAACTTTCTTAACACTTGACATTTCCTTTTCGACCGCTTCAAATTTGTTAAGTCTTCTTCGGATAAATTCTTCTATTAAGTATATGATTAACCTATTTTGTAACCACCTTTTAACTTCTTTGGAACTAATATCTCCACATCTTAAGGCGCATAGCATATGTCCAAGATAAACCAAATTATTGGGGACAATGTCTATGGTGCGGTTCATGGGTGATTTCATGTAATTTTTAAATAAATTTATGTTTTCCTTACGAAGTGTATTTGATTGTTTGTATATAGCATCACAAGTTTCCAATATCAATTTAAATTGATCTCTTCGGAATTCTGTTGATGTATCATTAAGAGCTTTCGCCAATACTAAAAAGGGAATAGTAGTGACTTGCGAGTATGAATAACCAAACATATCGAGTGTAGTTAGATACCCCAATATTGGCTTCATTCTCTCTTTGGCAATTGACCAATGTTTCTCATTGACATATAGAGGGAGAACTCCTGTAATATTTTCATTTGCTACTCCATGAACAATACTGGCTATAAAAGAAGCAGGTTGAAAGCCTCCATGAACTTCTTCAACATCGTAAGTATCATTCAAAGCAAATCGAATAGAGTCCAAAAACGCCCCGGAACTTAAGAAAGTTTGATTAATCGCCTTGATATTAATTAATGAAGGGTCTGCTATGGCAGCTTGAGATCGTGCAACATCAAGTGTTAGACAAATACATTCACCTCCTCTCATTGCTTCAATGTAATTATCAGTAGTAATTGTGCAAGTAAATTTTGCTTTAGTCTCCTCAGATTCTTGACTATCTAGTTCATCAAAGTCAATAGATTTTACAAGTTCTTCAATCTTTTTTTTCCGACTCATTCATTAAATCAATGTTTTTAATTGCTCGATCTTCAAGTTTATTTCTTAATCTCCTTTTGGTTATATTCTTATATGCCAAATCATTGAAACTTGCGATTTTTTCATTAGTCAATGTTCCCTTCAATGCTCTAATATGTGGAAAGACACAAAACTATAGGTTAGAAATATATAAAAATATTATTCATTTATGAACATTATATATAAAAAATGTATAACATACTCTGATAAAAGATTCCTGAATTGGTGCATAATGGATTTAACTTCCATAATTTGTTGTATAGTTGAACTACGCGTAACAGATTTTATTTTAAAGGTAGTTTCCAAGATTGAATTTAGTTGATCATTATATATATTAGCTTGTTCCAATATTTCATCAAGTCTTCCACGTTTATTAACATAATCATCCTTATGACTTAAAACTTCGTTAGTCATTTGTGTAATTTCAAATTGTATGTGAGAAATTATTAATGAAGTTGCCATTGGATCGTTATCAGGAATTTGACTAGGGAATGTAGGAAATTCATATTTTTCGGAGCATTCCAAATCTTTTAAAATGGTAATTTTTTTACCATCAACATTAGCGGTGTTTCCAGTAAGGATGAGCTTTCCATGTCCTTCATCATCAAATGTTGTTGACAATGGTTCTTGGTCACCGACTTTTACGTAAAGAGTTAGATCGCCTAATTCTAATAATTGTCTGGTCGTTTCCATAGTTTCAACAATCTTTTCACTTGAACTGACGTATTGGAAATTACCAACTTTATTTCCAACTTTAGTCATCCAAGAAAGAAGCGCTAATTAAAAAAATAAAATGATGAGAAAAGTAATCAAGTTATTTAAAGGATTCATATATCTTGATAAGATTCTAATTAAATTTTCTTACCAGCATCGTGACTTGAAGTAAATCCAATAGTATGAACTTCGGTAGAATAAGAAGTTGCTGACAAAGCTGCTTCCAATCTTACTTTACTTTCTTCAAGATAACCACGTCCACATCCATCTTGGCCATCAGTGAAGAAAATGATGGCCACATCCTTATCAATTGTTTTAACATTTTCGATAATTGAATCAAAGACAGATACAAAGCTTGTACCTGATTTATATACAAATTCAAATAAAATTATTTTTTTTTTTTTCCACATCATAAATACAGTAGACAAATTAACTCAGAAAATTTACCTCCATATGACGTAACGTGTTCGAAATATTCCTGAATTCCACCACTTTTCCAACGTAAATTTGGATTATCAGCGAAACGTACTACTTCACAAGTCGATTGATAAAAGAAGCAAGTAACTTCACTTTCAGAAAGGACACCACCAGTAAATAAACTCTCCAACAAGTGAAGAATAGCTTTTTTTGCTTGAGAAATCCCAGATCCTGACATTGATCCTATAATCAATTATTTGTTAATAAAAAATGTATGCAAAAAATTCGGTAAAATAATTCAATGAAACATAAACGTTAAGTAAGTTAAGATTAATTACCTGAAATATCAAGGCAGATGAAAAGCGAAAGTTCACGACGTTTTCCTTCAAACCATTGATTAATCAAATCTTTAGAAACTTTGATGGATAAAATACTTTTGTCATCAGATAAATTAAAGTATTTAACATTTGATTCGGCCATGGTTTTTCAATAATTTTTTATATGATTAATGTTGAAAAGATTTTATTTTTTGTGTTGGAGTTAATAAATTTCATCGAAACTGGTCATCATTAAATAGATAATTTTGCTTGTTTTCGCGTTACTGCGTTATCTGTGGATACTCCGATTGAAATATTGAAAGTGTATACTGCGGTTCATTTGACTTAAATTTCAATTGTTTCTGTACATCTTACATGCATCATATTGACTACGCCCATTAATGTACTGTAGAATCGTATGATAGCACAAACAAGCTTAATTCTGTAATTGGTAAGACTACATATATAGTGTCGCACTCATAGACAGAAGTTCGTCTGATTAGCTAATAAATTCAAACATATAAAGTTTTATTAGGGTTGTAGGACTCCGCCATTAAAAATAATCTAATTCAATTCTGGTTTTAGAGAAGTTAGCATGGTAATAACCTATCTTTAAG